CTATAACCATTAAAACTATAGCTACAATATGTAAATATGTAAACTATAGCTAAAAGCCTAATTAAGTTTATTCTTATGGATATATGCAAAAGTTTCTCTAGTTTTAATCCAATAGGTGGACGAGGGGAAATTTTAAACCTTTTCAAATAGTCCAGAGATATTTTTGGCCCTTTTCCGTTTTAAAAAAATAACTTGTGACTTATTTGCCCTTTAACTTAAATTATAGGATATTACAAATTTAATCTTAAATCAACTCCCATTAACTAATAATACAAATCTAGATAAATAAAGGATAATTAACTCTAACAATTAATAAGATATTAACAGAACTCACAACTTAATTTCAGCGGAGATCAGTTTTCCGGAGAAATTCGCAGGCAAGTGGTAAATGGTGTAGACTTGGGCCTAATCTTAATTTATAAAATTGGGCCGATGTTTATTAGAACTTGGGCCTCCTTCTGAATGGGCCTAGATTCATTTTTTAATGATGAAATTTCGTAAAAATTAAATATATGGACTTTACCTAAAATTTTGATAATCTCATCACTTAAATATGTATGGATACTTCTCATATTCCAAAATCCAAATTTTATTTCCAAGTCTACACCATTTACCACTTGCCTGCGAATTTCTCCGTCTATTTATCGGAAAACTGATCTCCGCCTCTCTCAGGCGACTCTCCGGCAAAATTGAGTTGTGAGTTCCGTTAATCTCTTATTAATTGTTAGAGTTAATTATCTTTTGTTTATCTAGATTTCAATTATTAGTTGATGGGAGCTGATTTAAGATTAAATTTGAGTTTTTGTAGTTTTTGTAGTGTAACTATTTTTGCTAATAGAAATTAGAATTCAGAGCAGTTGGGTTAGCTACTTTTGCTAATAGAAACATAATCCTTGATATGGAATAAAAAGAGGGAATTTTTACTTCTAATAATTGCAAAAAAACATCATTTTAGCTCATACACATGATTTGGAGCGGCGGATTACAGTAGAAGTTTAGTGGATAGTTGAGTGGTGTCTTGCTTTCCTGCAGGTTAGTCTTGATGGTAGTTTGATGCATGTACCTGTTGTCCTTTGATTTATGTTCCTAAAGATTGTGTTTTGGTTATCTTATTAATTTGTTTTAGGTACTGTTTCATTTTATTGTATCCTATGAAATGCTTCCTGTAGTACTTATTATATCTCTTTTCTTATATATGCTCTTTGATATGTATGTTCTTTGATATGTGTTTCGTGAGCTGGGGGTGAGGGGTGGCCGGGTGGGGGTCTTTCGAAAACAGCCTATCTTCCTCTTTCGAGGTAGGATAAAGTCTGGATACACTCTACCCTCCCCCCTCCCCCCTCCCCAGACTCCACCATGTGGAACTACACTGGGTATGTTGTTGATGATGATAACTGCTTATTTTGGAAAAAAGGGTTTCATGCTATCACCTATAGGATACAATCAACCTACATTGCATGGATTTGTTTGTGACCATGTACTGAATAGAGGTGTGTGCTAGTAGTTATTACTGAATGAGATTTGGATAGCTTCACTTTTCGGACTTGAGTTTCAGTTTTGTATACTGAATGTGGTCTTGTGTCTTGCAGAGTTCAAAATCATCATTTATCCGCAATGCCTCACAGAGCTCGGCCTATGGCAGGTCTCCTGCTGTTTACTGGACTTAACGTTGTTCTGGTCTCAACTATAACTCCTGTCTATGACTTCGTATGCTTCCATCCATATTGGGAAAGAAGAGTAAGGCTAGTTATCATCATATCCTCAATCAAACTGAAATCTATTCTTTGTTTCAGCAATCATAGGCTTGTATTAGTGCTTTTCCATTTCTTCCTTGTTTATAATTATCTGGCAAGTTGTTTTCCATGATGAGACATTTATTGGAATATAAAGGTTTTTGCTATTTATATCACTTTCTTCATAGAAGTTGAACTTTTTTGCCGCCTTCACATAAATCATAAATTTATCTTCGATGTGTTCAAAGCTGCTGCAGCTTTAGTGCAGCAATTGATTATGTTACTGATCCAGAGAAAAGTTGCTTTTAGCAAAAGAACACCTTTGAGTTTGAGTAGGTGTTTTCTTGAAGATTGATAATGCTCTAAGTTCAGTGTATTACTTTTGTCTTTGTCCTCTTTCACCCATATTACTGATAACTTATTTTCTAAATTATTTCAGAGAGAGCATCGGCGTCAGGAACGTGAAGCAGCTTTGAGAAGTTCAACATCTGCTCAAGTCTGATATCAAGGTTGGAGATTCTGTATAGCAGATTATCTTAATTTAACTTGGTCATGATACATTCAGAGAAAGGTATTTAACAAAATAAGTTGAAGCCCTTCACGCGCTACTGGTCTATATTCTGCACACAAGTTTTTGTTGTTCCCCTGTACACATGGAGGAGTTCCAATTTCAAATTTAGCTGGCTTACACTTGAAAAAGCAGAGAAAGATGAAGACATACACAGCTTACTCGCGGTACTTGTTCTCTTTGAAAAAGAATTGTGATAGAAACTCTTGTTTTAGTTTTGTTTTCTGAGGTAACTGTTGTGTTCCATCTTTATTGGTGAGTGTTTGGCTGTCTGAATCTGGAAGTTTGAGAACTGAAAGATCTTGGGTGGTTCAACGTTTCAAAGAGAAAGCTTACTTGAGGGAAGAAACGAAATAGAATATTGAGAGACTAAAACCCTAAATCCGTATCTCATTTTGATTCTCTTTGTTCCATTTTACCTGTAATATTTTTACTATCTAAAACACAATAATGTATGGTTTATCTTAAATCATAAATTCCTAAAGTTTTTTTTTGAAAAAAAATCGTGCTCAATTAAACAAGTCGTGCTAAATTATTTAATTTAGATACTCAAACTAAGTTTTATTTCAATTGAACACTTTACCTAGTTTTATTAGATACTTCCGATTTCAAATTTAAGTTTCTTTTGATGTGTATTTATTCGTCTATTATGTAGTTAAGTCTATATAAAATATATTATCCACACTAATGGTTATGTATATGTCTCAATAAGTCATCGAACCCTAGAAGTTTAGATGGTTAAATTTGGTTCCCTTATTTTGCCCTATATTATCTTTTGTTTCTTTAGTGGGATACCAATTCTACATGCCACAAAGTTACCATCAAACTTCGAATCTCAAAAAAAATGGTGTTTAATGTTTGATATTGTAATCAATTATCATTTGGAGAGCATCAAAAATTCATGGATATTGTTGTTATCGTATGAAGAACATAAAAAATTTAGAACAATATCTGTTCAAAATAGTGTAATTTTTGACGAAATTAAAGAAAATTCAGATGAATCCCTCAATTTTTAACAAAAATATGTCTCAATATTGATCTTTCTATTGTTTTAGTCAAATCCGTCATTTGTTTCATTTTTTTTACCGAACATTAAATGAATGAATAGGAAGCTTCATAATAGAGTTCATATTTTATGCACCGATAAATTAGAGAATTTTTACATGATTAAGTTGACTGATGGACAACGTCTCGTTAACCTAATAAGGTAGCTCGAAAAATTAATAATCAATAACATGCATTAACTACGTAGTCATTTTCATTCAGATTTTATGGCAATAAATCACACCAAATTATGAGGGCATTAAAAATTTAGAAAATCATATAGAAAAAAGGAAAATAAAATAATAAGCTTTTAATGTTTCTGCTTAAAAGCTGGTCAAACTGACTTAAAAGCTGGTTTTTGACTTATTTAGCTGATTGACAATACTCAAAACAGCTTATTTTAAGTTTAAAAAAAACTTATAGCTTATTTTAAGTTAAAAAAAAACTTATTTTAAGCCAAAAGTTAAAAGCTGGGGTAGGGGTTTTTTTTTTTAGCTTATAAGCTGTTTTAAGTTGACCACATTTTTATCTTTTTGTGCTTAATATTTTTATACAATCTCCAAATTACCCATATAACCCTAACATTTCTTTCTTCCATTTTTCCCTTTTCACGTTTGACATAACAACTTCAGCACTTTTATCCAAACGCATAACTGCTTATTTTAAAAATAAGTTTCAGCACTTTTAAAAGTACTTTTTTTAAAATGCTTTTATTAAGCCCATCCAAACGGGCCATAAAACTTGTCCACCCATGATGTGAACTCTTCAAACATTAAATACTCCACAGTAACCTGTTAATACTTAATTGTATTTAATTCTTTTTGCTAAAAAAAAAAAACCCTATTTATTAAAAGATTATCTGCATAACAATCCTCTACTCTCATAAATCACATCTTAATTAGGTGTGTAACAATTTTTTCAATTTTTCTACACTTTCAACTATCTTAATTTGTTAAAACGTCGTATTGAATTACCTTAATTTTTAAAAAAATATTTTTTGATCAAAATTATGATTCCGCTACTATTTCGTCACGAATGATTTTAAGTTCCACATGGTGGGTATGGTAGTGGTGATTTATTACAGTTGTAAGATCAGTAGAAGTTAGGCAACTATCACCTACCTTTTCTATGATGTCTAATAACTATATGGTTAATCACTAGGTGACCTGTGATACCTACTTTTTTTTTAAATTTCTGCTACCTTAGGTTTTTGTTTCTTTTAAGTCTTCCCCACATTATTTATTGACTCTGTCAACCAAGTCAATATATTAACTCCACAATAGTGAAGGTCAAGCCGATTTGTATCTATCTCGATTAATTTTATGATTTTTTAATGATATAGATGATAGTGAGTAGGTTTAATCATCAAAAATTTAATAGGTAAAACTGAATCATGTCATATTTTTTGTTTCAGTTCGAACTGAAATTTATTTTATTGAAGATGATTATTAGGATACAAGTTTAAATAGGGAACCATATCCTGACAAAATCTTGGATGAAATTGAGGATATACTTTCTATTCACCCTCATTTTTTAAACAATTTTTCAATATTTTTTTTTATAAATTTAGTCAATTTTTTTTGACCTACTATTTTTTAATACTTTTGGTTTCTTGGAAAAGTGGTCTTATTATATATGAGATTGATTAAAAATAAAAGTAGTGTTGTTTGTCTTTCATTGTCACTTGAGGAAATATCAAGATTGGTATTACCAAAGTTTATAAATTTTGAGTTTTGTTGCTTAAGTTTTTGTTCTTTTTGTTTAGTGATCAAATCATCCAAATTTTGTTCACCACTTATTTCTCTAGTGGTCTATTTACTGTAGTTGGATACCAAAACATTTAAGAAACAACTTCATTTTGTTGGTTGTTTTCATCTCTCTTTTTTGTGGCTTTGTGAGTTTCAACAATTAAAGCTTGTCTTGTGTGGTTCATCTACCTATCTCCCTCATTTGAAAACTCAGCCAAAATTTTCACAATCTAAAGTATTTTTCTTTTTACCCTTTTCACTATATATATATATATATATATATATAAACTAGTTTCTTGAATTATCTAAGCTAAGTTAAAAAAGCTATCTTTTTTCTTTGAATACAATGTTTGTTTTCTTGATTTCTTGCTTTTCCTTCATTTTACTAGTTTCTAAGTCATTTTTCAAGCCAATGGGAGGTTTCTCAAATGTGTGGTTTAGTGAAGAACTTGTAAAGTTCTTAGCTTTATGGTTTAGTAAAGGTAGAAATGCTATTAGTTTCTTGAATTTGCCACTAATGACAGATCATGTTAAGTCAAAACTAGAGAATGTTGTGGAGAAAGAAGAGGGAGTTTCTTTACTGGATTTGCCTGATTTGACATTGGAATGTATTTTTGAGAGGCTTCCACCAAATGGTCTTTGTAATATGGCTGCTGTTTGTACTTCTTTGAGAGAAAAATGCACAAGTGATCATTTGTGGGAGAAGCATATGAAGGGGAAATGGGGTGAATTGATTGGTTCTGCTGCTTATAAAGAATGGCAATGCTATGTTGTGTCAAGAAACAAAGCTTCCATCTTGGAGAAATCAAGAAAAAAAAGAGAACTTTATGGGAAATTTTCGAAGATTAGGGAACTTTTATGGGACAGATCAAAAAAAGGAAATGAAGATGACAGCAAGATTGGAAATTCTTCAGAGATGAGTTCAATAATGGATTGGTACCTTTCTCTTGAGACTGGAAAGTTTTGGTTCCCGGCTCAGGTTTTTAACCGCGAGGTAATTGCAGACGAGTTTAACTTTTATACACTGACATTATACGAAATTTTCATTAGTTGAACAAAATGCTGATAGATCATGTTTTTTTTCTTTTGAAGGTACAGAATGGACATATTGGTTTTATGTTATCTTGCTATGATGCTGAAGTTAGCTATGATTGTAGAACAAATACTTTTAGCGCAAGGTAATCTTTACACACACATTCGGACATATTTACTGTTTACTTTTTCTAGCCCGTATACACGGAGTTCTACACTGTGTTTTACATCAGCTGACTATAGTTAGATGTGTCTTTTCTTCTCTTTTAGACCTTTTGCCTAAATGTGAATTGAATAAATTTTGCAGGTATCCATCGTACGGGAGGAGAATGATAGAGGATGATATAGAATGGAATAGACTAAGAGCACCAACTGTTGACACTCTTCCTTATGTTCTTCATGTATCAGATTGCTTAGATGATCTGCAACCTGATGATCATATTGAGATTCAGTGGAGAAAAAGCAAAGAGTTTGCATATGGTTTGTGCTTTTGTCCAAAAGCAATTTGTTTTTCATCTTATTAAGCATTGAATATACTCGAAAAGTTCTGATATTTGTTCTGCAGGTTGGTGGTATGGAGTTGTTGGACACTTGGAATCTTGTAGTGGCAGCAAGTTGAATTGCCATTGTCATGCCAGTGGTAAGTTACATAACTTTGAAGTATACTTGTCGAGTCCCATAACGAAAGGCGAAAAATTCAAATGCAGGGGTACTTAGGTGTAGTTTCTGGTTTTCCATGATATATAGCTCCAATACCAACTTATTTTGAACTATAAAAGAGACATTATTTACTTAATTATGCCTTTAACGAGTACATACATACATTGAATGAGATATCGTATTCTCACAACTATCTACATCGCAGAGACAGTGCTGTTGGAGTTCAAACAGTACACCGCGGGATCAAGGTGGAGGCAAACAGTGATAAACAGAAAGGATCACAGAGAAGTTGGCAATGAAGGAGATGGTTTTTATGGAGGAATCAGAAAGCTTTATAGTGACAAAGAGATTTCATTGTGGAATAGCCTCTTGCCTAACAACACTTTGGAGTAGCACAAAAACAAAAAAGCATTTAAGCTGTTCTCAGTGTAAATAGAAAGCCAAATAGAGCACGATTAGGCTTTAGAATTTTCGCTCTGGTGTGTTCAGAGACATGTACATACAAGATTGAAAGAGGTTAGGTTCTCTATCAGTAGAGTCATTGCCAAAACTAGACCTTACGAGCTGTTAAATTCGAATTAATCAGGCTAGTGAGTTTTGGATATCACAAAAAAGATGTTGTAAGAATATGTTTCCTATGCATGATAAATAGTTTAGTTGTTATGAAGAGATGAAAATAAAAGCTTCTTTCTTGCATCCTTTTTCCACTTCATTTCTGAGTATATATAGAGATACTTTTGTCCTTTTCTTTTCCAACTTGTCATAGATGAAATTTCAATATGGTATTTGCTTAGATTATACCTGATTGCCTTTGGGACAATATTTTGTCCTAACCTAACACCAGAATATAAGTAAAAAGAAATACTTAATTTCTCATGAAAAACATTTTCCTTCGCACCATATATATATCAAACTTATCAATAAAATTTAACATTTCTTGATCAGGCAGCACCATTTTCATGGATTTAACAAAGAATGACCTAATCAACACTTCATGTTTTCAATTAAACTCTATGTCCAATTGAAGCCCTCCCATATCATAATATACATACAACATGTAGAAACAGGCACTTTTCTAAACTAGTACCTAACAACTCTGACATTCACAAAGGAAACCACAAAGATTTTGCTTTACAACAGAAGAACAAAATAGCCGGTATTCTTCATCAAGCATCTGAGAGCTAACATTCTTCACCATCTCTTGTATACACCGGTATTTCCCATTTCTTGGTATTCTTTTTAGGATCATCGCTGAGGCTGAGATCATTATCGTCTTCTTTCATTGTTTTGATAAATGTTTTTGCTCCCATCAAAATAAGCCTTTCTACCATGAAGAGCTCGTAATTGTTTTCAATCAGTGGATCCAAAATGCTGCTATAATTCGAGGAATACGCCAGCTTGTACCTGCAAATTGTAGGTAGAAGAACAAAGATTATAGCAGGCAATAGTTACGGTCTTCCGGAAGATGATCAAATGGATTTTTTCCTATAACAAACCGACAGTATTCGTTTATCCAGGCACTTGCTTTTGTCTGGTCCTTACAAGTAAAACAGATGTTCCCTTTTTAAGTAAAGATATAGGCTTGCTAGAGATTTATAAGTGAATACAGAATGTACATAGTTTTTAGTGCTAGAGTGACATGAGAAGTGACAATTCCTATAGCTGAGGTCCTACTTGCTTGGGACTGAAGCGTTGTTGTCGTTCTTGTTAAGTAAAGGTATACAGTTCAAGTCAAGCACGCTAATCCGAGACAATCCCTAAATCAGTGTCAGCAGAACCAGCCGGGGGGGTAATCCAGGAACAATTTCTTTTACTAAACAGACATACTCAACCCTGCCCTCTATCAAGAAAGCCAGATCCAAATGGTTTGGATGCCCTATATCTCATACGAAACAAAGGAATAAAGTAGATCCAAGTACAAAAGTGATTGGATTTTCTCCAATCCACCTCCACATTCTCACTATCTCCCTTATACATGGTTTTATGACACCGAGATCCAAGTCTGCCTCCTCTTCTGCAACTTCAATTTAAACAGGGTATTGCTGAAGATGAAATTGAAAGGATCTAGTTGATTAATGCAATTTTTTTTTCAGATAGAAATCTGACAGTCTCTCGGAAACATTATATTAAACTCTGAAGTCCTTTACATACTTGTCACCTACATGTTTCAGAAGAAAAAGACAGTGTACATAGGAGGTACTGGTGTACTAAAGCTAATTACAATTAGGAAGACCATAAGGAAGTTGTGTGTTATAAAGCTGAAAGCAACCAAACGAAACAGCGCACATTACTCTTCTATAGCATGCAAAGATCAAGTAGACGACAGGAAGATTCTAAAAGAATTGAGAAGATCACTAACCTCACAGCTAGAGGAGAAAAGTAACCTGGTGTCCTCTCATTCGAAGCAATAAAAAGGGTTCGCCCAGGCGGGACCCATTTTGCTATTCTGCATAGAATAAACTCTGCACGTGTATCCCTGTCCAAATGAGGGTGCAAACTTCGTTCAACCCCAAACCTGTCCTTTCTTGTCTTCAGAACATCACCTCTTCGAACATGCATAGCATCATAATCACCAAGCAGCTTCTTGATCTATAGAAAATGATAGAATCCATCAAAACATATTAAGGCGGTAAACTTTAACAGCCACTTGTGCAACAAAGGAAAACTTAGAAGCATATTAAATAAGGAAGCTAATAGAGAAAGAAACTATAATATGCATTTGTTGATCTAAAATAAAGAAAGGTTCAACATATGATGTTTGACCATTAACCCGGTGGAAACATATAGAGAAAACATGTCAAAGATGTGACAACAATCTAGTTTACTGCAAAGAGAAAACAGTGTTAAAGGATTTCATTTTTACACGCAGATGATAGAGACAAAGTAAATTTAAGTAGTTAAAGGACATGCAATTAACTAACTTCTTCTGCTGCATATCGTAGTTTTTCCGCAGCCATTGAAGGAAGAAACGAATATGGCAGAAGAATGGAGCTGTGATTTTTCCTATCCTTGCATTCTGCAAACCTGAATGATTACCATGATTAATACATACAGTACATCTATTAGCACTTAAAAGTAGGTCATATACTAAAAGCCAGAACAATTTAAGCAAATCATTCCCTACTACAAGCTCCATTTTCTCCTAGCACATGAAAGTTTGCACAGGAGCAAGTACCTAACGGCAAACTAGTTACAGACAAAAAAAAAAACTAATATGACTTCAAAGCAGCCGTGAATACTCCTGGCATAGTATATGTTCTTTCTATTTTCCCGGACAGATTAAATGCAGGTTTTACAGTCAGAAATAACAATAGGAATGGAATCCATTGACGGAGTGGGCAAATGTTGGAGGATACTATCCTTCCACTAGAAAAGAGAAATAGAAAAGAGAAAAGAGAAACTCGTGCATCGGCCATCACAATGTCTAATCACTTGAAGGAGGGCAACTTGAGAGAGAGAGAGAGAGAGAGAGAGAGGACGTTTACCAAGAAAGCGGGCTTGCAGTTCGATTGATAAGCAAAATGTTTGAGTAAGAACTTTTTTCTTTGAGATCAGCCCTGCTAACTCCTTCAACGTGGGCAACCCCTCTAGAACCTAACTTCATGCTTGTAGCCAGGACATGATGCCACATTTCAGAATTGTCTAAAATTACAGGTACAGTGACAGAGATGAGATCTAGATCATACAAAGAATCCATAGCACACGAACTATCTGCCCACCTGACAATTAGATGGACACATAGGAAGTCAGTAACTTAATATTGTTAAACAATTTATTTTAACAGGTAATCCAGAAACAGATCAAAGTAGCATTCAAATGCTTGTCAAAGGCATTCACATCAGCACACATGATCTAGTTCTTTGTAGCTTAGGCACAACTGAAACAACAATATTTGAACTCTAATTACTGGATACGGTCATGCACGACTATAATGTATCACACGTATATTCTGCAGTTCTATTAAATTCATTAACTTATATTTTTAGATAATTTATAAGAGACATTTTATCAATTTTCTCATGCATACGTTTTACACGGAGTTGGATGCAACAATTTAATGAACTTCACCATACCGTTTATAATAAAAATGCAACTTGCCTCAGAAATGGATGCAACCTAATCAATGAACTGCAACATGCCACTAATACAGAAAATTCACCTTTCCTCAGAAATTGAATTGCTGGAACTGTGAAGAATTCCTTTATTGTTGTGGATCGGATTGATACACATCTTTGAAGGCATAACAAATGTTCTGCAACAAGCAGTAGCCTATTATAAGATACGTAGAACTTCAAATACATCTTTCATAAAAAATGTTCGGACTGCTAAAACACATCTTAAATGCATTGTTTTCTTGACATAACCAAATGTATGGCTTGTTTTTGGAAGCAACACAAATAAGGAATTGTGCACACAGATATGTGGTCATCCAAATCAACTGTAAGATGATAGTAATTGCTTCATTCATGTCAAGTCTTGTGCCCATAAGCTTAGTACAGACGACCCTAGGATGGCCATCTTTGAATTGATCAAATTTTCTTTCATCAACATAAACACGAGAAGAATAGTAGCTAACAAAGAGTCTGTTAGCAAGTCCCCCGTGGAATAAGTCGAGGTGCACAAGCTGCCTAGGACACCATGGTTGTCCAAAAAGAAGAATAGTATAGTTGCTCACATTTTATACTTCTGCTGTGTGAAATTTCATCCAAAGATCAAACTCACTCATTGAAATAGCTGACTAGTCCAAAAGATGCAGACTTCACTCTAGCAAAACACTCCGAAGATTCAGCATACCTCTAACAGAGAAATTAAACTGACCTTTATTATAGAGAACACAAGAACTAAATCTCTCGAAAACAAACCACATTGCAAATTTGCAATAATCATCAAACTGTATTATTGTAAATTACCTCAAACAACAAATGCATTACACTCCCAGGTCAAAAAAGCAAAAGTTCTTGTGTTTTGCTTCAATCATCACCTAAAATACCCATCTAAACTAAAGTTCCTCCCTCTTCTTTATATGATAAGGTGGTCACAATTCAACCGCCAATAAACTGAAAAAACAAACAAAATTTGGACCGCCTAGTCCCTAAAGATCAACATTTATCCTTTCCAACACAGGCTTATGTAAAGAATGCACTATAAGTCAAGTCAAGCTGAAAGGAAATATATCAACCAAAAACTTCTCTTTTTTTTATAGCAATCAAGAGGCAAACATCCAGCAAGTAAAACCATCTTCAACATAGAAAAGATTCAAACTTTGCAAACTAGATTTCAACAGAACAACAACAACTATGCCTCCATTCCAAACAAGTTCTCATTGATATGAACCTCATTTCATATCATCCTCATACTAAAAGGGAAACTCGCGCACTAAGCTCCCTCTATGCACAGTGTTCGTGGAAGGTCCAAACCACAAGAGTCTATTGTAGGCAGCCTCATACTACATTTCTACAAGAGGTCATTTCCACAACTCGAACCCCAAGACAGTTATACAAGTTACACTAAGGGTCCCCTCCCCTTCCATACTAAGTAAACTAAAAGTGAAATTTCAAGAAACTCAAAAGAGGAAAACAAAATTTTACCTCCGAAGAAACATAGCTTCTTCAAGAGCACACCTAAGACTTGATTCTTGATGACCCAAACCTGCACAAGTATCACAATGTTTTCCAGGACAATCAATTCTATTGCCCCAATAAAGATACTTATGAGGCCCATTATGTTGTCTACGATTCTTAGAAAAGACTGAGTTTTTTGAGGTTATGGAAGTGGAAAAAGAGAACCCATTTGGGGAAAACAACGTTGAAACTATGTATAACAAAGTTATGGCTACAATGGAAACTGTAAGTATGAGTGTTGGAGATCTTGGTTTTGTTTTCCCCTTGTGGGTTTTTTGGATCGCCATTTTCTTTTCTGATTCTTGAATAACAGAGAAGAAGCAAAAGAAATAAGAATATCTGGATGAAACTCACTTAGGTACCTTCAAGTTTTTAAAAGTTTCATTTTAGTATTTAATGTTTCTGGTTTATTCAAATTAGCCCCTTAGAACAACTTTTGATGGTTAGATAACATTTTCGTAATATGTTATACAGTTTTGATGAATATAATGTTTGAATTAAGTCTATTAGTTCTCGTTGTTTTATTAAATCACATATCATTTTCTTTTATAGATATAAGTAAGTGAAAATTAAAAATATTATTTAATGAATTTAATAATACAAAATATGAAAATTTAGTCAATTCTCAAACATAATTTATATTTAAAATAATAGGATATAAAACAATTTGTAACAACCATTCAAAAAAGTTGTAAAAAGGAAAGTGTGATCATACAAGTTTGGCCATTCAAATCATTTCACTGAGGATTAATTAGGGAAATAATTACTAATATATTTGTTTAAACCAGCTCATTAGTGGCCCTCCTAATTACTATGGATCATAATTTATTATAATGGTAAATTATGTTGGTAGGGCATTTACCTAATTCTAAAAACTCCCAACTGCTAGACAAGATATTTTTTCATTTAAAATTAAGAAAAGTTCAAAGGTCAAAAAGCATTTGGCTCATCAAATGTAAATATAAAATATGTCTCTTACATAAACATTTATATCCAAATCATGGTTAGAACGACATATATCTATATTTAAAGATTAGTCTTCTCGTTAATTTGGTGTAAACATTAAAATATTAAAAAATGTGTAAAATTTATGCGTGCCACCACTAAGGTTGTTCATATGTTAAGAACTATAGCAGAAGAATTGTGACAATAGACTGACACTGCTCTCGAAAAATTCAGCGGATATAAGGTTAGAGACACAATAAAGAGAATTTATTATGCTAAAGCAAACTGGTAAACAGGTTACACCAAGAAGCCACAAGAACTCATCTCAGCTTTCAGCTGTCTTTTCTGACAAACTACTTACAACTTTTTTTCTTCTGATTATCCTCATCTGTACAATCCTCTTAAAGTGGAATGTGATCCAACATTTGAAGAATACAAGAATTACATGACAAAATAAGATTTGACACCAAATATACTGCTGCTAGTGTCATGTATTTTCAAACTGGATCTGTAGTTCTGTTGCAAACTAGCTGTTTCCGCCTTTCAACAGATCATTTGATCAAGCAACAAGACTTTGATTCTTCGAGTGATGAATAGTCTGAAAGCTGGATGAAACACTGGGAAGTTCAATAAGATAGGCTATACTCTTTAAGCTTTTTGAAATGTGCGCGAAGAAACTCCATGTAGAAGCCGGACAAATCCCAAGAAACTGAGCTTTCCATCTGAGTGTCTAATCCAGTCCTGCAGAACTACATGAACTGGTACGGAAGGAGACAGCCCGAGCTCCTGTTTAAATAAACCATATAGGAAAATCAGTAAGCTTGAAGCTGAGAATCACAAACACCAGTCAACCAAGAAGTTTAAAGAAATGATTTTTAGGCAAGCTTAGTCGTTGTGGCACCGCCTTACTTGGTAAAAATCATACATTTAACTTATTTTGGAAAAGCTCAAGCTTTGTGAAGAATATTTACTTGAGAAGTAGAAAACAATTCATAGCTTTGACGCCAAAAAGTAACTTTACCACTGTCTGTACATGTCTTGTTCTTGTACTTGAAGATGTCATAAGAAAATAACAATAATGCATGTAGCCATGTAGTAAGCTATTACTCTAACCTTATGAATTAAGTCTTATTGATGAACATAAAAAAATTTAGATACTTCTGCATCATATTCATCGTACTACTATTAGCATCACGACGAGAGAAGGGAGAGAAGGGAGAGAAGGGAGAGTGTACCGAAGCAAGTTCCTCTATCATAATAGGTCTGTTCCCGTCCTTTTCAAAGAACTCATAGCCACGACGTGCATGTTGCTCCCAACTTTCCATTCCCTCAAGCTGATGTACACTTATCGAAGCAGCACAGAATTCTTCAAAATCCAATTTTCTGTATTGAAGAGAACTCACCTGCACAGGACATGAAAAAGTCAGTCAACAAAATTTGCCATCGCTTCATTATGTCTATCAGAATTGTACGTATGAAGTTCCCCACTTCAACAAGATAGAACCAAAAGAGCTTCCTGAGAGGAAGCTTACCGTATTAACAAAGTCGAAAACCCTTGAATCCTTCATCGCATCGGTGGAGTTCTTCATCACAGCCTGCCGAATCATTAAAATTAATAGGAAAAAAACAAAAATGAACCTGCAATCTCTTTAGTTTCTTTTTTATTTTTCTTCTGGAAGAATGATGGTGGAGGATATAGAGCTTACCATTTTGAAGTTTGGTAGAGCTACTAGTCCACTTTTGCTTGGCCCTAATAGTGTAAACTGATCACGAAGATAAGCTAGTTGTGGTATAGTCAATGTCTTAGCAAGAGCCTGTTACAGTAGCCGTAAACGATAAATCATACAGCAAACAAATATAGGGGCTAACATTTCTTCAGAAAGTCAATAATTCAATTTGTCATATTGCTCCAAGTTGTGTGACAGGAAAAGTATGTTTCTGTATATATTTACACAACAGAAATGCTGAACAGGTTATATTATAACCTTGCTGATCACATAATGCTCCTGTTGCTTTTGGGAGCAGGGGCGAGGAGAAGAGGTTGAAGAAACATAAGAGGAAGGGAACACAGAAGAATTTATCTGACCTTCGCATGCCTCGAAAGGCATGGCAGCACTTACAAGAAGTGGTCAAATCAGATTTTTTGGCTAAACTATATGACTGCTGAATTTAGAAGCAAGTTCTACAAGAACAGATATACATACCCTTAAAGCAGTTTTTCTAAGAGAAGAAGAATATACATAAGCTTTTACAAGCTTATATACTATCATATCCAAAGGAATCTTCATATCATGATGACCAGCCAACCAAGGATGACCTACAAAAGAAATGGGACAGGTTAAGAAATCTATAATGCTGCTTAAGTCTGATACCGCAATAATAAACATACATATGAAACATCATAGGTAATATGGTTAAATCAGGAAGTCATTAGGTACATTCATATATGGCGATGACGAGTTATGCTCTAGACAACACTCAACAAGAACGTTAAGGAACTTGAAACTGGTATAGGTATGTCCTATTCCAAAATTGTAAGGTCCACATTATCAAGGAGACTTACTGAGAGCCTGAGCTGCAGTTAGCCTTTTGCGATAATCCTTATTCAGCAATCTTTTTACAAAGTCCACTGCATCAGAAGACAAAGAGGGCCAAGGGGCTTCATCAAAGTTTGGATCAGTTTTCAGGATGGCCCTAAATATACCGGACTCTGTCCGAGCCCAGAAAGGTCTGCTTCCACAAAGAAGAATGTATGCAATGACACCAATACTCCACATGTCAGCTTCTGTTCCATAAGATCTATGCAAAACCTCAGGTGCAACATAGTATGCACTTCCGACAATATCATTAAGCCTTTCATCTGCAAATATTTCCGTTAGTCAAACCATGGTTCAAGCACAAAATAAGAAATGATAAACGTTATATGCATTAACATTTACCTGGTTTTACATAATCAGAGAGACCAAAGTCAATGGCTTTTAAAGGAGAGTTCTCATCCTTTGAAACGAAAAGAAAATTCTGAATAGAACACAAGAACAACTGTCAATATAATGAGCTTGGAAACCAAAGAAATATAGGAGCATACAGAACATAGAGTGAGGTAGGAACGAAATGACGCTACATTTGTTCACATATATGGTGGGATTAGAAGATACCCTGGAAATTTCCATTAGATACCGCCGTAAGAAAACATGCAGACCATAAATAATTTCTTCAGTGGTCTGTAAGATGCACAAACCTTCGAAAGCATTTTGATTTGGTTGAGCTGATTTAACTCTCTCAATACTTTACTGGGGCTAATGCAAAAGTGTAATTGGGTTGCCAGAATTCATCATCTGATATTATGTTACCAAATAACTCATGAATGATCGTTTAATCACCTAATTAGTTGGGCAGGATCCCAGGTATCCATAATGAAATTGCACATGTAAAATGGAAAATCCAGGAAAACTCACTCCGTCTACTGTGAACTTGTTGCACCTGATTTATATATCAGTTATTAAGTTGTTGTTTTTTAAAAATCATATCAGTTATTGTTGAGAGTCATATAACTACTATGATGACGATGCCTTGAGTGTTTTCTTTGATACTTGAGGTTATTAATCATGCTATTGTGCTTGCATCCTCTCTTAATGTCCATCAACAAAATTTGTGCAAACTGGTAAACTTGACTCTATCCCTTAGGTTCATTCAGAAGTTCTAAACATAAGTAGAGTGTTCATTGCAAATGAATATTTGAGTGTTATAAGTAGATTAAAATAACTCCATTACCTCAGGCTTTAGGTCACGATGAACAACCCCTTGAAGATGACAATACGAGACCACGCTTAGAAGTTGTACCATGACAGCTTTGGCATCGTCTTCCGAGTATTTCCCACCCCTTCAAAAGAAACTGGAGTCAGGAAATTCACATAGGAGAATACCAAGCATGCTAAGCTGAAAATATTTGAAGTACCCACCTTGCAAGTATCCGGTCCAGCAATTCTCCTCCTTTACATAACCTGAAGAAGATCTCACAAAGATAAGTGCAAACAAATGCAGAAAACATAAAAGACAAAAATGATAAACTAAAATAGATTTCTCTTATAATAATATGACAAGCCATGCAAACATTTGGAAGGACGTAGACCAAATAAGACAAATTCTTTTATGTCAGAATGCTGAAGAATGACAAGTTACCCTGAAACACAACCAAAAGCAGCATTATGATTGACAATTTCAACTTACTCCATGACTATATAAACATTTTCCTCGTCCTCATAGGCATCATAGAATTGAACCAGATTCCTATGTCCTGTTAAAGCGCGCAATATTTTGACTTCTCTTCTTACATCCTCAATTGCAATTGCTGTAGTCATCTGCAAAAGATTC